AAGTCCTACACACTACGGGGTACTGAGCGCACAGGAAAGGCTGAGGACGGCAGAGCAGAGGATGATGGTGGAGTCCAGAGCAATGATCAAATGGCTCTGTTTTCACCACAATCTCACGAGGCTGGTAAAACAGTATTATAGTCATTTTACAGATGAGATTTTGATGCCAGAGGATAAGTAGCAACGTGTTCAAGATGATTCTGTTTGGGAGTTGCTGGTAAGTAAAAGTGCTGGGACCAAGTGGCAGGCGGACTGACTCAGGTTTCACGTTCTTAACAGTATATTTATTCTTCAAAGAAGCTGCATTCAAAATGGCTGCCGGTCAGGGATGCAGACAGCAAAGAGCTCTCAGGAAAACAATTCAAATACAGCCTAACCAAGGAACACATGACATATCACAGACATTTCCATCTACCCTCCAGGCACAGCTTCTTGAGATGACAACAAACAGTATCCCAATAAAGCACAGCTGTTGAGCTGTCCATGTTTTTGTTTGAGACTCTCAGGTTGGCCTTGAACTCACGATATTGTAAGCCTGGCCTTGAACTACTGATGCTCCTGGGTCCACCTTCCAAATGCTCAGATTTAATGGTCATATATACAGATAATAACTTTTTCTCTTTTAAAATCTCACTATGATAGCTAAAGAAAAGGCAGTAAATCATCCCTTTTTGCTTGTTTTTTTTTTTTGGTTTGTTTGTTTGTTTTTGAGGTAGGCTATCCTGTGTTGTAAGCTGGCCTTGAACTCCGATGTAGCTCAGGATGACATTGAATTTTTAATCCTTCCACCTACACTTCCAGAGTGCTGGGATTACTGACATGTGCCACTATTTCTAGTTTATGCTGTGCTGGGGATTGAACACAGGGCTTCATGCATACCAGGTAAGCACTCTGCTGACTGAGCCACACCCCTAGCACGGCTCTATCATCTTAGAGCACTTTACAGCTTTGATATGCTTTTGCCCCGTTGTTGCGTTTGATCCTCTCAGCATTGCCAACCAAACGGGCAGCCTCACTATTTCCATCTTAAAGCTGACTAAAGGTTCAAAGAGGTCAAGCAGCCTTGGGCAGGTAGAGTGGCAATCTTTCAACGCTTACACCAGGGCTCTCAGAGATGTTACTAGATAGTCAACTCTGTTTTCTCCTTTGCCCAGATATGAACCAACTCCTAGAAAATAGTAAGCAATTATGATCTTCCATTTATTTTTTTTTTAAAAAAATCAGTTAACTATGATGAAATCTATATATGATTGATAAAGGAGAATTATAAAATTAAATGTGCTGTTGGGAGCTAAGAAAGCAAAACCAGACTGCAACATGTGGTTTAAAAACTCTGCATATTGCACACACACAGAACTGGAGAAGAAAGGGGGGGTTTGTTGGGAGCTTTGTTGATGTTTTGTGAACTATTGTTTCAGTGACACCCTAGCCGGTCTTAAGCTTGGTATTCTCATGCATCTGCTGCCAGAGTGCTGGTATTACATGGGGGTGTTGCTCTGCTCATCCAGAGGCCACCTCTAAAACATTCTCATCACCTCAAGTCTTTAGTACATTTATCTCATATTAAGTACATTGCTACAAGCTGCAACATTATACAGTAATTATTCAATCATCTTTTCACGAGCAACTCACCAGAACCAAGGGATCTGGTAAAGGCTAAACCAAAATGCAAGGCTTTTTTGTGTTATTGCTTTGTGAATAAAGTGGCTGTCCTTTGCTGTAGATTTTTCGCTATACCTGAACTCCTTTCTGTTACATATTTAGGAATTAATTCCCTAGTTTAGAACAGTTCCCCACTTCCAGGCCTTGTTCCTCTCTCTCAGGTAAATGCAGAGATCTGCCTTCCTGAAATTATCTTCATTAGCAGGCATTTGGTCAGTGTTTAGGTAAAGAACATCCCATTTAAGATATTCATAGATCTCCAAGGACATAGAATTACTACCTGCCCAAGCTGCTGCTCTGGTTTTACCCCACTTCAAAGATTTTTAACTCCTTATACTCACTTTCATCTCAGTTTACTGATGATTTTAGTTCAGGACTCTCAAGGACAGCAGAAGGGATAATTAACTGCAACCCAGAGAAAGACCCACAACACCCATGATCAGAATGGCTGATAACAGCATTGCCTGGAGCTGATAATTTAGAGGCCTGGGTCTAACTCCATACCTAAGGCCCGCAGAAACTGCAGCGTCTGGTGTATGTGCTATCTGATCAAGAATCATCAGTTTCTCTCTGACTATGTAGGTTGCCTGATTCTCTGGTAGCCTCTTTGCTTGCTGGGAGAAAAGTAGTGACACATTGATTTAAAAAACAATCTGTGCCCTGTTTATAATTTTACTGAAAATAAATCTTTTAGATCTTTTATCTAAAATACCTAAATATCTAAAATACCTAATAATGTAGCGCACTAAGCTTCCCTGCTAAGATTCCCTGCTAAGATTCTCCCGATGATTTAATTCCTTTCTAACTCCATTAAGAAGTTCACCAGATGGGTACTAGCCACTCCCACGGTTCTAAATGTATGTGAGTGTGAAAACCCTTATCTGATTTCCTATGGGGTAAAAGAATTCCAATCCTGGAACCTGGTAGGGCTGGGGAATTGCTGGTTTTAAGGATATATATGACTGGAAATGTTTGCAGTGGATAGAACTATGAACAATGTAGAACGATGTAGAACTAAGAACAATGGAGAACAGGAAAACAAGGAAGAATAAGGATACAGAGAAGACTAAAGACACATGGACAGACGATTCCCGTTGTGAGTAGATTTCTTACCCCTCAGATCTTAATTGAACCCCATATATAAATGAGTACATAAATGAGAAACGAGGTCTAGTATTCATGGGTCCCTACAGAACTTAAATAATTGTGCTGAAAATGAAAAATTCAAAGAAGAAGAAGAAGGAGGAGGATGGGGAGGAAGAGAAGAAAAGGAGGAGGAGGAAGAAGCAACAAAAGCAGAAGCAGAGGTATCACCATCATCACCATCATCATCACCATCATCATCATCATCATCATCAGCAGCAGCAGCAGCAGCAGCAGCAGCAGCAGCAAGCGGCTGGGGCCTGCAAGATGGCTCAGTGGGTAGAGGTACTTAACTGGCAGCCCAAGGATGTGAATCTGATCTCTGCAGCCCATGTAAAGGTGGAGAGAACCAACTCCACAAAATTGTTCTCTGAGGTCCACACACAGGTTGGGGCATTTCCCCATAATAATATTAGCAATAAAGTGTTTTTTTAAAGTATAACTTACACCTCAAAAGGAAAGAAAAAAGATAAAAAATAAACACATTTCAGTATGAAGTTTGTATTTCTTTGTGTATGTGTGGTCAAATAATTACATAATTCAAAAGCAATATTACTTCGTCTATTTTTAAATTTATGTTTGTTATTACTGCAATGATAATCCAGAAAATTAGAATAAAAATCCATCCAGTTCTATTTAGGTCTAACAGATTTTCATAGAGATTAATCTACTTCACTATTATTTGGTGCATTCTAAAACTAAAAATACCTTTCCATTTTCTAAATCCAACATCTAAGTAATGGCGCCTTACTTCATATCGCAATCTCGGCCTCCAGTGTAAAGTAATCAAGTGTATTTTCATGTTCCTTGCCATAGAGAAAAACCTCTCTAGCTACATATAACAACCTAAGGCACAAGCAATGTATCTTGGACATATAAAAATCAAACAGCTTACTGTAGAATGTGAGAAAATAAAAAGACTTATATTTTTCCATATTCAAAGAAACCAGTACACTGGTAGGGAAGAGTGTGTGTGTGTGTGTGTGTGTGTGTGTGTGTGTGTGTGTGTGTGTATCTGTGTATACCTCTACTTATGGACCATTAGTTACTGAAATATCTCGGTTTGGTGATGATGTGTTTTTTCCCCCATGCTCAGGCCTGGACTCTGGAGCAAGCCTTTTGCTCAGGCAGAGACAATCACAGCTTGGTTAGTAACTTTCTATGATGGGTGCCTAGAAGGGATGGCAACAGCCTGGATTTAGTAAGTATAATATTTCAAACAAATAAACAATGAATTATTTATGCAATTTAATTCTCATTTCATTTTTAGGCCCCTTAGTTTCCATTTTCATTTAAAAAGCTGAAATTATTGGAAATAAGCAGATGTGAGAAATTTCCAATTTCTGGGTTAAAATGTTGGTCCTCTCATTGTCTGGCTGCGTGATCCAGATGGGACAACCTCATCTCACTGAATCCTGATACTCTTGATACAGCCACAGAATCCCTTTCTGTGGCTGAGGTCACAGTCTCTGGAGCCAGACCTGTAGGAATGAAGTCACAGTTCACAAGGAGCTGGGGGAAATGTCAGCCTCTGGTGCTTCAGTGTGTACAATGAAGATGAGAGGACCTGACTGAGTGGTTGAGGGGTTTATGTTTACAAAAACAACATGAAAGAAAAGGACCTGACTCACAGAAGTCCCCAGAATGTCACAGACACAGTAAGCCTTTGTGTTGTTTATGAAACTGCAGTACAGCACCTCTTCTATGTATTTATTCTAATAACACAGCTTCACAGCTAAAGAGCCCAAAGAACATAAAACACACAACTCAAATCTAGAACGACCAGACATATAACATCCAATAATGCTAGGTAGTTATTTAAATCTGAACAATGATATACATGCCCATGTTAACTACTGATATCAATTCCTCCTAAAATATTAAGTGTTGGAACCCATTTTGAAGATAGAAGTCGTTTTCTCTGTTTCCTCATTTCTGAATGGATGCACCACTTGCTGTATGTGTGGCCAAGCATGCACCTACAAGGCTCCTGAGCATGTCCATAAGATGTAAGAGGCCGGAACTCAATAAACACCTTCACTAACAACTACAGGACTGAATTCTTCCAAGACAGTGAAATGCACAATAAATAAGTAGTTGGTAAAAAGAAAAAAAGAACTCAACATTTTGATATGGTTTATGTTCAACACTGATTTTTAAATTACTCAGGAGACCAACGGCACATTTCAACATACCAGGTACTGTGAAAGCAGACGGTCTAGATGGCATTTATTTCCGTCACCACTGCCAAACTGCATCCTACAGGAAAGCAGAACCTATTTAACTTTGGTGTCAACAAACACAGCATTTTAAGAGAGAAATATAGAGGGGAAAGGGTTATTTAACTGATTGCTAAGAGATTTTTAATTATAAACTAAAATTTTAAATACAGACTTAATTATAGAGAGATATTTTGGAAATTTTCTTCTGTGAGACAAGACAACCATAGGAGAATGTCCAAGATTCAAGCTTATGTTCTTAGACCCATGTATTTGTGATTTGGGTCATTGGCTATCTGTCACCAACTGCAGCTAACCAGCCGTCTACGTGAGAACTGCTTGCTCCCTATCTACATCAGATGCCATTCGCCCCTCCCGCCCCCAAAATGGAAGCCTGGGGTTGATGACATGTCTGTTATTTCATTACGGTTTTATTAATAATTAAAAATTTCATTATTTTGGTGATTCCCATGTTTGAGTCTTCTGCCTATGCCAGCACTGTACTAAGTACTCTCATCTTCTCAGTGATGGCTGTTCCCCCATTTCTAACATTGTACTATGTACTCGCCAGCTCAGTGATGACTGTCCCCCCATTTCTAACATTGTACTATGTACTCTCACCATCTCCTTGATGACTGTCCCCTCATCCTGACACTGTAATAAATACTCTCACCATCTCAGTGATGACTGTCTCCCCATCCTGACACTGTACTATGTACCATCACCAGCTCAGTGATAACTGTCCCCCCCATCCCGACACTGTACTAAGTACTATAACCAGCTCAGTGATGACTGCCCCCCCATGTCAGCACTGTACTAAGTACTATCACCAGCTCAGTGATGACTATCCTCTCCCATGCCAGCACTGTGCTAAGTGTCCTCACCAGCTCAATTAATTCCCAATGAGGCAGAATATATTATTATCCTGGCTTTACACACTAGAAAACCGAGCCCTAGAAAATGACAAAGATGCTAAGGAAGGAGGGGCTAGGTAAACAGCACCAAATCACATGGCCAGTAAACAATGATACAAGCATCATCACATTAGGCATCTTCCCCCAAAAGTCTGAAATAATTAAATTTGACTATTTTCTTCCCTTAAAAACAATTAATTGATCCACTTGTCCAAGAAACATGTATAGTACCTCTGTCCAGTGCTCTGGGGGAATAAGGGATTTCATGGCTCAGTAAAATTAGAAGGATTTCAAAACAGAGTTAATTTAAAAACATAATCAAATAACTGTGTTGATTTAGATACGAGGTGCTAGACAACAACCTTGAAATAGTAAGAGGACAGGGTTCGCCAGACAACTCCAGGGGAAAGGTGTCTGTCAGGGCAGGGTTAGCCAGATGACTCCCTGGGAACGGCGTCGACGGTCAAGCCTTACAACCTGAGGAGGGAGCAAATATCTAAGAACCCCATACCTGATAAAGACCTTATAGTTTGAATATGTAAAAATTCTTAGCCACGCGGTGGTGGCGCACACCTTTAATTCCAATACTCAGGAGGCAGATGCAGGAGGCTCCCTGTGAGTTTGAGGTCAGCCTGGTCTATGGAGAGAGTTCCAGGATAGCCAGGGCTACACAGAGAAACCCTGTCTGGAAAAAATCAAATCAAACCAAACCAAACATTGAACTTGAATATATAAAAATTCTTACAAGTCTATATGATGACAAACAAACTGAGCTTGTGTCTGTGTCAACCTGACACAGTCTAGGGCCGTATGGGAGGAGGAACCCTGAAGTTAGAAGACGCTTCCAGAGACTAGCTTGTAGCCAAGTCTGTGGGGCATTGCACTAATTAATGACTGATGTGGGTATAAAAAACAAGCAAGCTGTGGGAAGAACGCCAGTAATTCCTCAGCGGTCTCTTCTTTAGTCCCTGCCATGAGCTCCTGTCTTGGCTTCACCTGATGAAGGACTGTGACCTATAAACCAAATAACCCTCCCCCAAGTTGCCTTTGGTCATGGTGTTTTATCATAGAAATAAAAAGCAAACTAAGACACAACCCAATTTAAAATGGGCAAAAAAATCTGAACAGGTATTGCTGCTCAGAAGCAGAATGCAGAATACATACAAGACCCTGGTTTTGATCCGTGGCACTCCAGGAAAATACACACACACACACACACACACACACACACACACACACCACACACAAAGATGGTCATCATCTCTGACTATAGAAATGTAAGTTAAAGCTCATGAGGCTTTAAGTTAAAATTCATAAGCAAACACCTGCACAACACCAAGTGTGTGCACAAAGTATGTGTGCAAAGGAACGCTCCATTTCCACTCTCTGAAATATTACCAAGATAAAAATTATGATTAAAAATTACGTATCCATGCAATGACTTATACACAAATACATGCAGAATTATCTATAGTGGACAAAGGTTGTTGAGACTATCCAAATGCTTTTCACCTTTTGAAGAGACGAGCAAGAAGGCAGTATATCCATACAATTGAGTATGAATAGACAATAAAACAATGAAGTCATGGCATATACTATCACATATAGGAACCTCAAAAATAGGACACAAGTCAGAAACAAAACACTATACACTGTAAGTTTCTTTTATATGAAATTTTCAGAAAAGGCAACTATAGGAAGAAAAGAAGAGCAGCCCAGTGATGGTGGGAGTTAGCATGCTTTTTGTAGGGTATCTTTCTGAGCTTTGAAACTGAATAGTGGGAACAATTGTACAGCTCTGTAATTCACTGAAAAGTCACTGAGTTGTGCCCTCCAGATGAATGGGAAGGAAACCAATTTCAATAAATCTTTGTATAAGGGATCTGTAATGCTTCATCAGGAGGCAATCATGCTTATTTTAGTCTGATTATTTAAAGAAAACCACATCTTGTCAATTACAACATACACATATCTCTGATTTCTAGAACATGTAAATATTTTAAAGACTTATTTTTTAAAGTGTGTGTGTATGTGTGTGTGTGTGTGTGTGTGTGTGTGTGCATGTTGGATGCAGATGCCCATAGAGGCCAGAAGAAGGCATCAGATTCCCCGGAGCTGGAATTACAGGTGGTTATGAGCTGCAAGACACTGGTGCTAGGAACCGAACTCAGGTTCTCTGCAAGAGCAGTTACAGCCCCCAGAGTGACTACTTTTATTTGAGCATGTTTTTCCTATAACAATACCTATCATCTCTATAAAGACATGCGAGACACTCTCTTCAAGATAGCAAACCTCTTCCTTTCAGTGCTATTTGGTAAAGACATTTTTCCTGTTTTTTTAATTCACAAATTTTAAGTTTTTAATAATTTCCCCACATTGAAATATTCATCCATATGTAGCCAGATTTATCAACATTTCATCTACAGTCTCCATCTTTGTTGGTATAACAAGTGACAGTCTTTTGAAAAACACACTTTGAAACCTTGAGTACTGTTAATTATGTCTCTTTCATTCCATGTTCATTGCTATTGGGCCCTTCCATTAAAGGGGAAAAAAACATTAAAAAACAAAAAATCTCAAATTAAAATCTCAAAGTAGCTCTCTGTTCTCCCAGACCCAATCCCCAGGGCCATCCCTAATACTCCAACAGAACACCAGCTGCAGTCCCACCATACACCTTCTGTGGATTCCACAAACCACACCCTACTGACGTCCCCCTCCCCGGAACTTCCTCCCAGTCCCCAACTTGGGTGGACACCCACTGCTCAACCACAGGCCGTGCCTTCCAAAAGACCAAGTAAGCTGCCCTAACGATGGATGGGCATATCTTCTCCACTTTTCTTTCTTCACCCAGACTCAGTTCTTAGGGTCATCCATAGCTCCACAACAGAATAGCAGCTGCAGCCTCCCTTCCTCCTTGTCCACACCTCATGTGGATCCCACAGACCACCCCCCTCCTCACCTCCCTACCCAACTCATCCCTGCATCCTTGCCCCTAACACCAGCAGGCATTTCTAGTGAGCACACCAGCCTAGCAGGCCAGGAAAATGGCAACACACAACCAGCACATTCTCTGGAAATCCACCCACCCAACAGAGACAAACCCAGAAATCAGTACTGAGACCTAGAATCACCCCAAACCTAGATGCCTAGATGCCAGCCTCGGAACACAGTAACAGCCAAGGCAATATGTCTCTGCTACAGCCCAGCTATCCTAGCACAGCAGGCCCTGAATAGTCCAATAGAGCTGAAGCATAAGAAAAAGATCTTTAAATCAACTATATGAAGAGGTTGGAGGTACTTAGAGAGGAAATGAATAAGTCCCTTAAGAAATACAAGAAAGCATAAATGAATAATTTGATAAAATGAATAAATCCCTTGAAGAAAGCCAAAAACACAAATAATGGGAGGAAAGGAATAAATCCCTTAAAGAAAGTCAAGAAACAAACAAACAGTTAAAGAAAATGAATAAAACTGTTCAAGACTTGAAAATGGAAATAGAAGCAATAAAGAAAACACAAACTGGGGGAATTCTGGGGGAAATAGAAAACCTAGGTAAGCAAATCAGAAGTGCAGATGTAAACATCACCAAGAGAATACAAGAGAATCTCAGGCACTGAAGATACAATAGAAGAAATGGAAACATTGGTTAAAGAAAATGTTAACTCTTAAAAATTCCTGACACCAAACATCCAGGAAATCTGGAACATTAATGAAAAGACCAAACCTAAGAATATCAGGAATAGAAGGAGAATCCCAGTTCAAAGGCCTAAAAAGTATTTTCAACAAAATCATAAGGAAAATTTCCTAACCTAAACAGGGACATGCTTATAAAGGTACAAGAAGCATACAGAATAACAAACAGATTGGACCAGAAAAGAAAGTTCTCTACCACATAACAATCAAAACACTAAACATACAAAACAAAGAAAGAATACTAAGAGCTGCAAGGGGAAAAGAGCCAAGAACAAATAAAGGCAGACTGATCAGAATCACACCTCACTTCTCAATGGAGACTGTAAAAGCCAGAAGAGCCTGAATAGACTCTTAAAAAAACAAAAGGTATTCCAAACAAATGAACCTAAGAGGCAAGCTGGTATAGCCATTTTAGTATCTAGTAAAGCAG